AAATAATTATATATAAATGCGATTGTACAGCTATGTGAATGAATTCGCCGAAAAGAGTCTCTTCGCTGAACGTCTTCTCTTTTTCATATGAATCAATGGGAATTTTTAAGGGATAATATCATCATGAGACTTAACCCAAGCCTAAAATCCGTCACCAAGGAAACAGCTCCTCCATCTTGTCCCGAGAAATATGTATTCAATTTTTCTTATGTCTCACTTTCACCGATTCCAATGCAAATCTTGTCACTCGGACCAAAATTTTGTGATGCATCATCAAAAGTAAACGAATTGTGAACACCAAAGTACAATTCGAGAATTTGATTAGTTAGACAAATGATCTGGTCCCAATCTCATATGACAGTGCAGAACACTTCAAATCAACTGTTTTGAATTGCTGCCTCGACTACATCAATAAAAAGCTAGACTTCGTAATATGCTCTCAAAAGAACATAGAAAGTAACTCAAAGAATTGAAAACAAATGAAAACCTGATAATAACTCGACCAGACAAAGGTTCTGGAATTGTTCTGCTCAACAAGTCAGACTATGTGATGAAGAAACTCTCCTTAATTCTATCTGATGACAAGAAAATTTCAGAAACAGACGATCCAAAAAGAACCAACTGAACAGATGGAGCTCCAGCTAACCAACTTATTGAAAACAAATGAAAGATGAATTGATCACTAATACAGAACTATATGAACTTACTTTACTTTACTTCGGCTATCTCCTACGGGAGGATGAGCCGGCTTCATGAACATCTCGAATCATCGCTGCCCAGGCGCGGCGATCTGATGCAAGGTTTTGCGACAGGGTTATCCAATTCTTGTTCCACAGACGGAGTCCGTAGACGGTTTGTAGCCCCAGGCCCTCCATATCAGCCTTGACTGTACCAAGCCATGTAAGAGAGTTCATGAAGTTTCATGGGAATTTGGTACGAGTGATGTCCCCAGAATCGCTCGGCCTTTTGTTTGAGAGTGCAGCTCTAGCCTTTACACAACCAAGTGTCACCTACAAGGCAGTAGGAGTGGAGTAGGGAGTCCACTATCCATTGGCAGCCGGTGACCGGAGTTCAGTTCATACGCCTTTTTGAATGGGGCCAGACATCCAGGACATCCAACAAGCCCTTTGTCCATACGTCTGCCGGTGAGCTCCAGTGAGCTTCATACGCCAGTCGTTGGAGGTTTGGAATCAGGGTTTAGCCATCTCCCCTAGACTGTCATCCAATTGGTAGTCAACCCGGTGAAGAGCGCCGGGCATCCGCTTTCGCCCTCTCACTTTGGTGAAAAACACCTCCGCCACGTGAAGGCAGTGAGTAGGACTTCCTCAGGAGAGGCTATGTAAGACGCTCGGTCATATGGGAGCATTTCAAGAGGTGTGCGGAGGGGTGGCCAACCCGCAGCGCAAGGCACCCATCCCCGACCATCCTGGTTCCACATCGTCACGAATGTACGGGACTACCTAAAGTGCACAAAAAAACGTCCCACTCCGCCCAATATTAGATATGATCAATTCGCCATATCACCTAATCGCGAAGTGGCTGGTAGAAATTCTTGGACCAGTGAAAGAAAAGTTGTCGAGATACAACCTCCGCAACACATTCGATTTCGTGGATTCAATTAAAAATGTCAACCTCACAAATAAAAAGATGGTCTCCCTGGATGTCGTCTCCCTGTTCACCAATGTTCCATTGACAGAAACTATATGCTTTCTGTGTGAATTTATCCAATGCAACAGCATAGATGTTGGCATACCGAAAAATTATCTAAAGGAGCTGTTACTACATTGTACCTACAAAGTCTACTTCAAATTCAACGATGAAATCTACAGGCAAACAGATGGCGTAGCAATGGGCTCTGCACTCGGACTCCTCCTAGCCGACTGTTTTCTGGCCAGCCTCCAAAACAACTTCTTGCCTGCAACATTAGACACTAAGTCAACTTTAATATCATGGTTACTTGAGAGAGGACTAACCTAGAGAAGCCTCCACGTTTTTCATTTAGTTGTGTCCTATGAGCTGGACAGCCTTCGTTGTCTCCCTTCTAGACCACATATGCAGCGCCAGCATTCAACATGAAATGAATTTACTTGAATTCTCCATGAATGAACGATGGAATTGTATCTCCTGACAGATTTTTATCTTGATCAGTTGTTAATTTCTCTCCGTATTGATCGTTTTTATTGACTTGGAATTTTTGACATTTTGTGTCATGTGAAGAATTATTCTTCTTTATTATCTGACATATTTGATCTATGATAATAATAATATAGTGCATGTGTGTGTCTGTTGATCGCTGACTCATCTGAATACTAAGATTCTAGGAATTCTCTGGCATTTCTTTTAGTGTTTCCACTGTCTACAATTTCTACACATTCCTCCCCCCCCCCCCAATTAAACTGGTATTCCGTGCATCGTTATGAAAGAGAGCACATGTTATGTCAACCAGTTTATGTTCGCGGATTCAGAGTCGAAGACAGTAGTTTTGATCTCTTCCTCCTTCACTGTTGAGTGGATTCGTTTGGTCTGCATGCTACTGAATGAAGTGATTGTGTGATTAGTCTAATTACTATATGTATTCTGATTGGTATTAGAATTCTAGGCGTTATTTCAGAAACATTATATATATATATATATATATATATATATATATATTCCTTCACGTTCCCCAGTGGAACATTGGGCTTCAAGCTAGTGGCTTGAAGTTTCTGTAGCAGTGTTTATTTTACAGGATAGGGTTGCTAGCCTCATGCCCAACCTTTCCTCTTCACCAGCGTTATTTCTGGCTTAGCGAGGTAAAGGAGTGCGTCGGCCGGGGATCGAACCCCGGACCATATGCATGGTCGGTGAGCGTCCTAACCACTATGTCACCGACGCATAGTATAATTTTTGATTACAGCTTAATTCCACACCGTATTTTTTTGGTACAGGTATGGAATTTTCAGCATGTGATATCGATAGCCCAAATTTTGCAGGCCGATCATAGATATCAGGTGTGCGTCAGCAGCGGATCGAACCCCGGACCATGTCCATGGTCGGCGAGAGTCCTAACCACTGTGCCACTGACGCATTTGCGTTATCTATTCCGAATGGTATTAGTATTCTAGGCGTTATTTCAGAAACATTCTTATTTTATAAGATAAGATGAATTTTGTGTGTAGTTTTTCTGAAAATATGTTTTCTTTTCGGTTAGTTTGAGTTTAATATATCTTTCTATTACATCGTCTAATCAGACAAGCAAACACACAAATACAAACTAAAATGGAACATTGAACGAATGGAGTTGTTATACATCGAAACTGCATTCAAAGACATTTCAGAATATACGATTCTGGCGTTTTGATAAAAATGAATGTTGTCTATGTTCGAAATTTAAGAGACTAGGGGAAACAAACCCCAGCAAAACCAGACAGACTTTAGGTCAGTAACAGGATGGTATTCATCATATCTTCACCCTTCACAACAGATTCTGGAAGAAAAGCATACTTACCGGAGTCTACCACTACTTCACCTTAAGGCGGCATTCCACTCCACTATAAAGAGAATGCCGAGAAAGCTTATCGCACTAACCAAGACACTCAATCTACTCAAAATGACGCAGCCATGTAGGAGCTTACAGAGATTTGTCATCTAGAGTGTGATGACAACCAGCAATATCTGTCCATTGTCCACATTTCTGTTTAATTGCATCATAGATATGCTAATGGAGTTAACCGCAACTGACTTCAGTGAGTTAAGCACGGAGAACAGTCTCGACGACTTACAATAAGCGGATAATAGTGTCCTCTGAGGTGAACAGAAATCTTAGCATTTTTTGCATGAGGTTCACTGTTTTGAAATGAAGAACAGTTACTCGGAGTGAATAACAAATGCCTCGAATGTTTAGTATCTCACTTCACCGATCGAAATGCCTTACTTTTCAGACTCTGCATCCAGTATACTTCCTTGTCATAGGAGTAGTGAAACGAAGATCCCCATACTTAAGGTAAAAAATCTGTAGTCTTTTCAAATGTTTATTTGGTTTATTTTTACCAGCCATATCTCATCATAGTCTTTAATTACGACAGGATCGGTAACTGCTACCTTGACATGGTGGTCGCCGGGCTTGCATATCGCAATGACACAACAAGCTACACCAGCTGGAACTATTGTTTCTACAGGTCCTACCATACCAGGAAGATTGTTAGGATAGCGATCAAACTAAAAGCAGTTACCGGTACAGTGTACGATGTCGTTTTTATACTATACTAGGGGTGCGTCGGCAAAGTCATACTGCTGGGCAACAGGGATGTAACAGCCGCAGTAAGCTGTTTCCCTCAAATGACCAGCATGCCAGCCAGTTACACTGTCTCTCCACTCTGGAGAGAGGGGGTTAGAAAAGGTCGACCCAGAAATTGTACATCCCACCTACGGTGGTCCCTAGATGGCGGTAAGTTATTGATACGGACCGTATGTGACCCGCTCCAAGCAGTTGTCACACAACACTGATTCTATTTATATTTCAGGTACCCCAAGAATAAATCAATAGGCAGTCAGTCAGACACAAATGTCAGAATCAAAAATAACAATGCAACAGCCTTATATATTTAAGTCACGTAGGAAGATGTAGACTTCCTGGTTGGGGTCATCGGGACGGGAAACACCAATGAAAGCTGGAGACAATCGGTGATGTGGCTCAAAATCGTCCTCAAGGGCTGGCACAGATGCATCCACCCCTTGTGACTTATAATTTCCAATGAAACTATATTGTTCTTCGTTATTACTATTCTTTTTGCCTCAGATCTATGTTTACTGTCTCTATTTTGCGTTTCTTTTTACTTTCTTCTCTTGCTTTGTGTGCTACATGGAGTATGGTGATTGGAACTGCTACACATCGGTGCAAAGTTCTACGTTGAAACCAGTCAGTCAGTATATATTTCTGTGCATCCTGTAACGTAGCGCAAGTAATTAAAAACAAATTTTTACACAAAAATTTAATTAATAACAGTTCACAAATAACTTACCGATCATCTGAGGAGACAGTTAACTTGAAATCATCAAAAAGTAATTCAGTTTCATACAAAACTGTGAGATGCTTCCTTAAGTGAATTTGAACAGGATAAATTTCAACTGGTTGACTTGGCATTCTTGAATCCCAAGCTTAAAGTAAGTCAGAAAGAAAGAAAGAAAGAATAGTGAATATACAGAGCTGTTTGACTGACTGACTGATTCAGTCCTCATTTCTGGCGTTGATGTGATATCCTGATATCAATCAAAGGACCTGTGTACTACACAACAGTTCACTGTGTTCCTCTTTATGACTTTGAGACTTTACTTACTTTACTTCGGCTATCTCCTACGGGAGGATGAGCCGGCTTCATGAACATCTCGAATCATCGCTGCCCAGGCGCGGCGATCTGATGCAAGGTTTTGCGACAGGGTTATCCAATTCGTGTTCCACAGACTGAGTCCATAGACGGTTTGTAGCCCCAGGCACTCCATATCAGCCTTGACTGTACCAAGCCATGTTTTCAGCTGTCCACCCCTGCGACATCGCCAAGATGGTAATGGCGAGGGATTTAGAACTGACTTGACCAGACCGTCATCTGGTCGGCGCAGAAAATGGCCAAACCACCGAAAGCGACGTTGTTGGACCAGTACTGGAATTTGGTTGATGTTGAGAGTTCATGAAGTTTCACGGGAATTTGGTACGAGTGACGTCCCCAGAATCACTCGGCCTTTTGTTTGAGAGTGCAGCTCTAGCTTTTACACAACCAAGTGTGACCTACAAGGCAGTAGGAGTGGAGTAGGGAGTCCACTATCCATTGGTAGCCGGTGGCCGGAGTTCGGTTCATACGCCATTTTGAATGGGGCCAGATATCCAGGACATCCAACAAGCCCTTTGTCCATACGTCTGCCGGTGAGCTCCAGTGAGCTTCATACGCCAGTCGTTGGAGGTTTGGAATCAGGGTTTAGCCATTGAAAATGGAAGATAGGAAATGACTAGCCATCTTTGACCAATGATACCTGCATTTTATCTCCCGTATTAAGCGGCAGAGTATAATGAGTAATATTGAAGTTAAGAGTAGAGCGTTAGGTGGAAAGGCTAAGCTGATGAAATTGTAAAGCTACATAGACTGAGATGGCTAGGACACATGTTACGCATGCTGAGCCGCCGCCTTCCTGAACGATCATTAGTTGCGAACATAGGCTTGGGTTTTGAATCAGTCAGTTATGTAGAGAGGCATAGACTGTTTGCTTGCCCCAATAAACGATCTATTACGGTAGATAGATGGGTAGGCTTCGGTCCTCCTTTTACAAATGCTCTCGTGTAGCCATGCGTTCACAACCTCCCTCTGCAAGCCAAGTCCTACTTATTGCCTTCAAGAAGCAGCGGGGTTGTTCCTCATAAAAGTGGAATGGTTGATATGGATGCCCGGCTCTTACAACCAGACTAGCGAACATACTAGTTTACACTCAGGGGAACTGGAAATCCCTGATTCCAAACCTATGGTGTATATGGGCTCCTCCAACCATCTAATATCATCAAATCAATATGCACCGTGATGGCGAGCTACCTAGAATGGTGGCTACATTGCAAACCTGATTGACAGAATTCAGCCTGCACCAAAGAAAGGGCTAGACACATCACACTAGTTACTAGTGTCCAATCGGAGTATGAACCTGTTTTTCGTCATCGAGATCCATGGGAACGTAGCTCCTGACGCTGCTCTAATGTTTTGTAGATCAGAATTTAAGTCAAATGGTCAGAAGATGGCCACTTAAGACAACCAAATGTTTCGATCTATGCGTCCGAGAGATCTGGATGCCCTCACATAAACTGTGGTATTTTGTGTGGCACATCTCTTGGTACTGCTCATAATGTACCAAATTTGAGTTTTAATAGGTAAATAAATAAGACTGGATGCTGGACACTACTGATAATATGATTCAAGGATAGTGTTCTCGATGGCGCAAATGCATTCACAGCTTGTAATATTGCAGATGCACTGAATCTTCCTACTTTTTCAATGTTAATATTACGCCCATTATAGTGCTTTCGATTCCCTTTTCTCTACCTTTGCGTGCTATATATGGTGTGACAACTTCAACTGCGGCTCTTCTGTACATATTTCGACGATGAAACTCACTCAGTCAGTCGAAAGCAAAGAGAATACGAGAACATACATTATATTATTATTATTCCCTTGCATTCTGAGTGGAACAAAGCGCTTCAAAATCACATCTGCACTTTGTTATGTTTTCTGCCATCCTCTTCAGCTGGGTTCACGATTGACTAAACTCTCTTATCTCTTCCTCACACGATCTCCTCCATGTCACCCTCTCACCAACGACCCACTCATCGCTTCCCATTTGGATTCCACTCGAGGGTCTGACGTGCGGTATCATTCGACGGCCTCCTCAATGTATGCCCAATCCATCTCCGCTTGCTCCCACATATTTGTTGAGAGATCGGCTCTTGCTTGTTGGTTTATTCCCAGCCAGAGTTTCTTGTTACTAATTCTTTCTAGCCATTTGATCTTCAGTAAGGAGCCAGCGAAGGCAGCTGTTGATAAAAGTCTCCAGCCTGTTGGAAATCCTTTTCGTGACTGACACGCAGTGCAAGATTCCGACCCGTATAGAAGAACCAACTTCACATTGGTGTTGAAAATGCGAATCTTGTTCCTTATGTTGACTGTGGAAGATTTCCAAACTGGTTTCAGGTTGATGAAGGCGTATCTTGCCTTTCCGATTCTAGTTGTCTTTGACATTTTCTTCTGTTAAGAGTACCTGTAGTTGAAACGATGCTTCCCAGATAAGTGAAGGAGACAACCTCTGTTAAATCTCTCTCTCGTTGATGGTGATTGGTGCTGGTTGTTGTAGATGTTGATTGGTTATCTTCATCACCTCCGTCTTCTCTATGTTCACCTACAGTCCTGTTTTCGCTGCCAGCCTCTTCAGCCAGTTCGTTGGTTTTCGCCTGCAAGTTTTCGAGTTTGTGTGACACTAGACATATATCATCTGCGAAATCCGAATCTTCTGGAGTCTTCTTATCCGTCGTTCAGCGTATTCCTGACTCCTTGCCCCCAACAGTCTGATGCATAATCCAGTCCACCACAATTAAGAATATCATCGGTGATAATAGGCAGGCAGCCAGCTTGTCTTACCCCTGTATGCACTTCAACAGAATGCTTCGCTGAGTTTTCCGTTGTAGATCACTTGACACCTGGCATTGTCATATGGCCAACTGATGAATGAGGTTGATAAGGACTTGGGTAATGCATGCCATAGTGTTGAAGTAGTTTCCAAATTACTTCTCGGTCAACGCTGTCTGCCGAAGGCCTTTTCGAAGTCGACCGAAAGCTGCTACCTTGACGTGGTGGTCGGGCTTGAACACCACAATGACCCAACAAGCTTTACTGGCTGAGACTTATGTCGCTTGAGGTCCTACCATGCCAGAAAGGTTGTTTGGATAGCGGTTAGACAAAAAGCAGTTACCCAACCCAATGCTATGACTCAAAGTAAGTCACAAAATATCATGCCGGATCGATCGGGGCTTGGATTAACAACGACCGCGCTTCCTGCTGCCGTGTCACAGGGCAGAAGTGATAAATATGCTACTGAGACACACCAAATAAAAAAGAACAAACAAAAACAGGCCGTGTGTGACCGGCCTCAAGCAGTTATCCCCTGGGCTCTGTGGTCACGCAACCAACTTCCACGGTGTGGGCAGCCGGGAAGTAACAATCGCCCTCACAATCCAATGAAGTTGAAGTAGAGTAGGAGTTGACTGCCATTGTATGCTTTTTTCTGTGATGATGATGACGCGTAGGCTTGCAATTTGATCAGCACACCACTTGCCTTTCCTGAATCCAGCCAGCTTGTTCCGGTGGGGCTGGCGGAGTTCTGTATCCAATGAATCCTTTATTCTCTCCAGGATGATGCGACTTAGTATTTTACTTGGCGTAAGTGGACAAGAGCATTATTCCACGTCAGTCAGTTCTTGCACAGGCAGGCCTAAGTCGCCCTTCTTTGGCAGAGAACACAGACACATTAGAGAAGCGATAATTTGAAGTAAACTCAGATGGAATGGAATGGAAAATAATAATAATAATAATACTACTAATAATAATAATAGCAGCTTACTTTTCACATTCATATAGTCACGTGAAAAAACCAGGTGATCAGAGAATTTGCCAAATTTTAAATCTGATATAGAATTTGTTAGAATAGTAAGCACATTTGATTCATCTGCAGCAAGACTGTGAAAAGCTATCGGAAAAAAAAAAAAACGAGGATTACAATTATGACATAGACGACTTTTAAAACAGTTTAAGCGTATATAGATAGATAGAAAAGATAATAACGTTTAGATAAATGAAATAGCATAGCTGATATTCTGTTACAGAGTAAACTGACTTGATAAGCAGTAAACATTGTTGCTTATTGAGCGTAGACGTGATATCCGGCTGACTGTCATCCCGATATACAAGAAGGGAGACAAGTCTTCCTGTGATAATCACAGAGGGATTAGCTTGACTAATATAGTATCTAAAATCCTAGGCTCAATTATACTGCGTAGACTAAGTGGTGCTCGGGAGGCACAAACACGAGAAAACCAGGCAGGTTTTAGGCCAGGTAGAGGGTGTATTGATCATATCTTCCCCCTTCGACAGATTCTAGAACATAGGCATTCCTACCGTCGGCCAACAATCATTATATTTCTTGACCTAAAGGCGGCATTCGATTCTGTCGACCGAGAGGTTCTCTGGCGATGTTTGGCTGTAAAGGGAATGCCGAGGAAATACATTGCACTGATTAAGGCAATGATTAAGCCCCAACGGGTTGACGAATCTCAGTACGAATACAGAGGGCTCGTTTCTCATATACCAGTTTACGGCGTCTCTGGCGTAGACGTGATATCCGGCTATTGACCTAAGGACGGGTGAACTGCTCAGCAGTCCGCTCCGTTCTCCTTTATGGCTGTGAGTGAGACCTGGCCATTGAGAGCAGAAGACATGGAAAGATTAGCTGTCTTCGATCATAGGTGTCTGCGTTCTATCTCCCGTGTGAAGTGGTATAATAAGGTGAGCAATATTGAGGTTAGGCATCGGTTGAGTGCTAGGCAAGGAGGGGAAATCAGTCGACGAGACTGTGAAATTACATCGACTGAGATGGTTAGGACATGTGTCACGCATGCATCCTTAGCCATCGCCTCCCTCAACAACGGGCAATGTTTTCTGACATAGAGTCAGGTCGGAAAAGAGCCAGTGGTGGTCAAACCAAAACATGGCTTCATCAGTCAATGAAATCCACAACAGTTAGTTTAAGCCACGTAGGAAGGTGTAGACTTCCTGGTTTGGGTCCTCGGGATGGTAAAAACCAATGAAGGCTGGAGACAATTGGTGATATGGCTCAAAATCATTCTCAGTGGCGCAGATGCATCCACTCCTTGTGACTTATAACTTCCAATGAAACTATATTGTTCTTCCTTATTACTATTCTTTTTGTCTCATATCTTTGTTTACTGTCTCTATTATGCATTTCTTTTTACTTTCTTCTCTTGCTTTGTGTGATACATGGGGTGTGGCGACTGGAACTGCTGCCCATCTGTGCAAAGTTCTATGTTGAAACCAGTCAGTCAGTCAGTCAGAAATCATTGGAAAATCGTAGTTCAGAGACAAGTTGACAAATCATAATCGAGGTTTAAATGATATCCAGTGTATATCTATTTACGTAAGCTAATTTGCGAACATGCACAATCACCACCACACTCCACATAGACGAAGTCTGAGTTTTAAAGTATCACTTCCGATGTCAAACAAATGCTAAATTTTAATTAAATATCCTCTTCACACCTTTGTGGAGATGTAGTTGTTTGGCTTGAGTACTCAAATTCCAGACAATGGGTCCTCAGGTTCAAACCACACTTCGTTTATTTTAGTCTGGACAGCTGAACAATAACTACCAGCTCTTCACAAAACAAGTGTAGCTCATAGACTGGCACGTGAAAAATCAGCTCCGCATAAGACTTATAACATTCTTTACAATCTTATATCAATTATGATACTGCAACCTAAAAATTAGTGTGTCGGCAGTTCAGGGATACTAACTCCCGTTAACCCTACACGTGTTCACGGGTTCGATTCCCGACTGACACCCTCCTAAACCTCGCTTACCCAGTATAAATCCTGCAAAAGAGAGAATTTCGAGCATGACGTTAGCAGTCGCAACCCCGTAACTGACTGACTGGTTTCAGCATGGAACTTTGCGCCTATGTGCAGCAGTTTCAGTCGCCACACTCCATGTAGCACACAAAGCAAGAGAAGTAAGTAGAAGAAATGCATAATATAGACAGTGAACATGGTGTGAGACAAAGGAATATTAATAATGAAGAACAATATAGTTTCATTGGATATTATAAGTCAAAAGGAGTGGATGATCTGCGCCAGCCATTGAGAACGAGGATTTTGAGCCAAATCACCAATTGTCTCCAGCCTTCATTGGTTGTAACCATCCCGAGGACCCCAACCAGTCAGGAAGTGTACATCTCCCTACGTGGCTTAAACTAACTGTTGTGGATTTCATTGACTGATGAAGCCATGTTTTCGTTTGACCACAAGTGGCTCTTTCCCAGCCTGAACCTATGTTAGCTAACATTACCTGTTGTCAAGGAAGGTGATGGCTAGAGATGCATGCGTAACACATGTCCTAACCATCTCAATCAATGTAACTTCATACCCCCGTAAGAAAACAACACAAACGTTACTGAAACTTCAACGCTTAAAGCTTGAAGCCCTATGTACCCACATAAACGACCTGATACGGCCAAAGATGGGTAGACTTCGGCCTACCTCTCCAAATGATCTCATGGCGCCACACGTTCACAGCCTCCCCCTGAAAGCTAAGTTCTAATCACTGTCTTCACTCGGTTGGAGTACTAATCGCAAAAGTGAAGGGACAACACTGCAACCGGACTGGAGGACACTCTGATCTACCTAGGGGAGATGGAAAAACCTAAATCCCAATCTATGGTGCACATGGAATCCATAATCCCAATGGTGTATATCAACCTGTTTTTGTCACCGGAAACCACGTGAATGCAACTCCTGACGCTGCTCCACTGCTTCAAGCAGCTCAAGACAGCCACCTACTTTCATCTTAGAATCCCGGCAGTATCTCAACCGTCGCAGAAACTATGAGTTTTGCTGTGGAGCATCTCTCCGTGCCAAGTTTGTTTCAATAATTATAATAATAATAATACCCGATGATTGATTGAACCAAAGTGCTTGGTCTCAGGCTGACACGTCGGCTTCTTGTGCAGATACTTTGACGATGTCTGGGCATGTAATTAGAATTTAATTAGTGGATGGTGACTAGCAGTGGAATCCAGGATGCGCATTTCGTCCTTTCTGGGACTCGTCAACTGGATGTACCTGCATTCCCCAGTGAGTCAGTGATGATGTTCCCACCGAGACTCGAACCCAGTGCCCAGACATCGTCGAAGCATTTGCACAAGAATCCGACATGTCAACCTGAGGCCGAACACTTCGGTCCAATCAATCGATGGGAAAATATAAAATTCAATTAAATAATTAATATGACCCGTTGCACAAGAGACAGTGGCTCTCGTGGCCCAATTGGTCTAGTGGATAACGCTTCAGCTGGTGTTTGAAACTATGGGCACTGGGTTCGAGCCTCGGTGATGGGAACATCATCAGTGACTCACTGGGGAATGCAGGTACATCCAGTTAGATGACGAGTCCCAAATAGGACAGGTGAAATGTGCTTTATCCTGGATTCCACTGCTAGTCACCATCCACCAATTAAATTCTAAGAAAGCCCGATGCTTCACTCGGAAAGCAAAGGAATGGAAAAAAAAACTAGAAATTACTTATTGGCTGGTCTATTATATTAGGCTTCACTACTTGTATTCGTCCGAATACACAACTTTCTAATTGACAGACAAGCAGCGATGTTACTGAACTGTCAATTGGCTGGCTGGCTGACTGGATTCAACATAGAACTTGGCACCGAAGTGCAGCAGTTCGAGTTGCCACGTTCCAAAGAGCACACAAAGGTAGGCAAGAAAATGAGTGAAGAGAATCAATAGAGTTTCGACAAGTATAAGAGTGAAACAGAATGAGTAATGGTAGAAAGGAATATGAAAGACTACAGAGACTGAGTACATCTGCATAAGCCATTGACAACGATTTTGAGCCATGTCACCTAGTGTCTCCAGCCATTGATTCTTAGAGTCCCGAGGGTGGGCCCCAACCCGGAAGTCTGCATCTCCCTACCTGACTCAGTTTAACTGTCAGGGATTTCATGGATTGATGAGGCCATGTTTTTGTTTGGCCACCACTTACTCTTTTCCAACCTGCACCTATATCAGCTAGTAATGCTCGTCCGTCGGGGGAGGCGATGGTTAGGCATGCGCAGCACGTGACCTAGCCATCTAAATCTATGTAATTTTATAGCCTCGTCGATTGATTGTCCCTTTGCCCAACACTCTACGCCTAATGTCAACATTACTTACTTTATTATACCACCTAACGTGAGAAAGAGATCGTAAACATCTGTGGTCAAAAACAGACAATCTATTCATGTCTTCCGCTCTCGATGGCCACGTCTCACCGCCATAGAGAAGGACGGAGCGAACTGATGAGCAGTATACACGTCCATTGGTTGATAGCCGGATGACACGCCTACGCCAGAGACGGTGTAAGTTAGCGAAAGCAGCCCGAGCTTTCTGGATCCGTGCTGTGATTTCGTCACAAATCAATCCGTTGGTGCTGATACAACTTCCCAAATAGGTGAAGTGGTCAACATTTTCTATCACTTCACTCCCTGTCACTAAGCTAGGAGTTGACGTAGTCCAGTCCTGTAGCAGCATCTTACATTTCACAGGAGCGAATCGCATGCCAAACATACGAAGATTGTTCAGAAAATTCTGCATTCTGTCAGCGTCCTCCCCTAACAGGACTATGTCGTCTGCATATTCTTGTTTTATTAATAGTAATAATGAAGCCTTATGCCTCACTCAGAACGCAAAAGGATGGAAAAAACCTAGAAGTTACTTATTGGCTGGTCTATTATATTTGTCCAAACGCACAACTTTCTAATTGACAGATAAGCACCAACGCTATTGAATTGTCACTTAATACACAATTAATAGAAACACATACATGATATATAAATATATCTATATATACATATATACACACTTACCAAGGGAAGGATGATCACAAAGAGAACTTGATCGTGTATCACAAACAAAAATAGAACCTCTATTTGTACCATAGGCAAAAAGTGATGGACTAGTATTACTGCAACTAATCCCAGTGATCAGATGAGATCGATCATCTAGCCGATCAAGCATATGATCAACAATACCTATAAAGTGATTGGTTGATTGTTAAGGATACCATTGCTATGCACACAGCAAAACAAATAAACAATATACACAACATGGAATGGGGCGAAGTTCAACGATAGCGTCCCAGGAGTGCGAACACTCACAGGACCTTGAACGCTTGTTAATCGTTGTTGGTTGAAGAACCTTACGATTATTCTAGTGTGAAAATGAACGCTGTTTATCTGGTCAGGTGCGAAATTTCACCCAGATCACGTATTTCAATACTGTCTGGACTGGATAGTGGATGGATAGGACGTTCTGGTATATGTATGTAGCTGTGGTGCTTCAATGAATCTGCAACTGTATTCCCAGGTCAATTTTTTTTATTCCTTCACGTTCCCAGTGGAGCATAGGGCTTCAAGCTAGAAGCTTGAAGTTTCTGTAGCAGTGTTTATTTTTACAGGATGGGGTCGCTAGCCACATACCCAACCTTTCCTCTTTACCAGCTTTTATTTCTGGCTTAGCGAGGTAAAGGAGTGCGTCGGCCGAGAATCGAAACCGGGACCATGTGCATGGTCGGCGAGCGTCCTAACCGCTATGCCACCGACGCACATTCCCAGGTCATTGATGGATGGAAACGAACAAGTGTTCGTAATGGTAAGTGACACTCTCAGTTAATTGTTTTCTAGGAACTTTCTTTGTCAAATCGAAACTTTCCTTGACGAATATACTGTTTCTATGGCAATATTGGATTTTGAAGACCGGTGTGAGGTCAACTGCCGCTTAGACAGATAATACGTTGATGTCTACTGTGCAGTGGTTCCAATTTTGTCGAGATTTAGCATCTTGGAAAATGAATAGTATTACACAAGGGTTGGGAGGAATCGGTACTGTCGTTCATATCGACGAAACGGTGCTTATAAAGAAGAAATACAATCGCGGACGTGCTAGAGTTAATAACGTTTGCCTATTGGGAATTTATGACACCCAAATTCGGTAAGGATTTATTGAAGTTATTTTAGACAGGAATGCCGACACTCTTCTGCCTATTATTCAGAGACTCGTTTTGCCTGGCATCGGGTCTCAGTGGCTCAATGGTCTACGAGCTCGCCTTGTAACCAAAAGGTCATGGGTTCGAACCCCGGGTGGGCGCATACTGATGAAGAGTCCCAAACTAGGACGAAACATCTGTACAGTACTCCCAGTTAGTTTTCCAATGGTTCCCTAACTAATGTCAGCTCATGATGAAATCCTGTAACCAATCAAATCCCTACAAACCAACACTTGAATAAAAATAGTTATTTTTTAGAAGATCCTAACAGTTTGACAGTAAACAGGATTCAGGTCATTGAAGAGTAAATTACTGTTGTTATTATTCATTCCTTGCGTACAACATAGGACTTCACAGCAGCACATCTCCATTCCACCCGGTTCTCCGCCATCACTGTTAATCGTCTCTACACGACTGCCTATAAACTTTCATTTCCCCTCCACCCTTAGACACTAAACTCGTCACTTTCCATTCGGGTATCACTCGAGAGTTTGGCGCATAATGTTACTCACGGTGTATGTCCGATCCGCCTCCACTTCCTTCTGCATATGTGTTAATCTGTTGGCTGGTTCGCCGCCCCCGCCAGAATTCATTTCTACCCATCCTCCCTGCTTAGCCAGCCATCTGATATTCAGTAATGAGTCAGTGAAGACACGTGCTGATGAAAGTTAGCAACTTTTCAGTCAACAAGATTAAATTAAGCCTCATAAAAATCCATTGGGCCTCAGAATAACCATATATTGGTGGTTATCCATTCATCCATTACAGTTAAAAGTTTGTATACACCAATCGTTATGTCTTAATAGCATTGCAATTATCAAAATTCCCCGATTGAACACTAGTAACTAGTGTGTTGTGTCTAGTCCTTTCTTTGGTGCAGACTGAATTCTATCAGTCAGGTTTGTAATGTGGCCACCATTCTAGGTAGCTCGCAATCACAGTGCACATTGATTTGATGATATCAGATGATGGTTGGAGGCAATCGGCAGGAAGCCTTGGACCTAAGTTTCGTGCTAGCTGCCACTCACCCAGAATAGTGGCCACATTGCAAAAATGCCTGATAGAATTCACTCTGCACCGACGAAAGGACTAGACACAACACACTAGTCACCAGTGTTCAATCAAAAGTATCCAATACAGTCCTACAGGAGGTCAATCGCCAGCCCGAATACCTCAGTGGTAACGTCTTTGACTGCAGCACTGGCTGCTGACGCGGGTTCCAATCTCAGAAGGGACATGAGTTCCTTTAAGGTGGTTGCAGATACGCCGCCTTGCTGACTGGTGAGTACCAACTAGAACGACACCTAGGTGGAAGGCTTCCTGTGGCCGATTGCCTCCAACCAACTAATTATCAAAATTGGACACTGGACATTTCACCTACTTATTTGAATGTAAATATCTTCTATTTTATAATAATAATAATAATAATAATAATAATAATAATAATAATAATAATAATAATGGTAATAATTCAGTACAATATGATCGCCAACCAATGAATCGCATACAGAAAGAAAAGTATGTGTGACATCGTTCAGTTAGATTATTGATGAAAACGTTTTGTAGGCGTATAAATATTGATGAGCTACGTTTTAATGATTCATCACCAAAACTTAAAAATAGTTTCAGTTTAAAATATTTTAGTGTGAATGTGGATGTTTCAAAAAATAACAGAGAAGATTTGTAGCTCAGGTGGATGATTTACAATTAATAGTGTTCTCTGAGCTGGTTGGTTTAGTTGTGGAGCTTTCGTCGTCCCCATTCCTGGACAACATCACCTTTCAGCGCAATATTTAGCATAAAGTGAACTGACTTAAATTTCTCCATGAGTGATAGAATTGCATCTCCCGGTAACCATCTTTATATTTGTATTGATTATTTTTATTATTGACTTGGATTTGAAACTTTCTGGTCACATGATCTCTACTTTTTATTAGTTGGTATATTTGGTCTATATTAACATGTTTGTTAATTGCATATTCCTTTTGAGTACCAGGCTTCTAGGAATTCCCTGACATTACTTTTGTGTTTCCTCTGTCTAAAATTCCGACATTATCCCAATCAAACTGATGTCCATAATTATCTATATGCATTGATATGAAACAGGAATATATATATCATGTCTTCTCATCACAGCTGATTTGTGTTCCTGGATTCTGATTCGAAGGGGACGCCCACTTTGGCCGATGTAATGTTTGTTACAGTTCATACAGTTTATTTTGTAAATGGTGTTAATTTTATCTCCTTTTTCTGTTGGATCTTTCGGTTTGCACAGCATCGAATGAAGTGATTGTGCTGGCTGGCTGTATCTATTTCAAACGGTTTCAATATTCTAGCTGTTATTTCAGAGATATTTTTTCTGATATATGGTAGGATGAATTTTCTTGTGTTCTTTGATGATGGTTTCTTGTTGGTGTTGTGATTCGATTTTAAACACTTTTTGATGAAATTTTGTGGATAACCATTCTTTTTGAAGACCGTTAGTAGGTTTAAACATGAAAACGTAATGTTCAACTTGGATAGAACTCATAGAATTATGCCTTACAACATACTTCAAATTCAATACTCAAATATATGAACAGATAAAAGGAACACCAATGGGATCGCCCATATCAGGATTAATAGCTGAAACCGTTATGCAAAGATTAGAATTAATAGCTCTACCTATAATTAAACCAAAAATCTGGGTACGTTACGTTGATGATACATTTGTAATAATTAAGAGAAATGATTTAGAATATACCCATAAATTAATAAACAACATATTTGAAGATATCAAAATTCACAAGGGAAGAAGAATTAGATAACAAAATCCCATTTTTAGATGACTTAACCAGGAGAACCAACACAGGAAATTTAGAAACACAAGTATATAGAAAATCAACGCACACAGATCAAATACTCAACTATACTAGCAATAATCCAATTACTCACAAAAGAAACTGTGTGCAGACACTCCTGAGTTGAAAATAATGGAAGAAAAATATGTACAAACGGTCTTCAAAAAGAATGGTTATCCACAAAATTTCATCAAAAAGTGTTTAAAATCGAATCACAACACCAACAAGAAACCATCATCAAAGAACACAAGAAAATTCATCCTACCATATATCAGAAAAAATATCTCTGAAATAACAGCTAGAATATTGAAACCGTTTGAAATAGATACAGCCAGCCAGCACAATCACTTCATTCGATATTGTGCTAACCGAAAGATCCAACAGAAAAAGGAGATAAAATTAACACCATTTACAAAATAAATTGTATGAACTGTAATAGACATTACATCGGTCAAAGTGGGCGTCCCCTTCGAATCAGAATCCAGGAACACAAATCAGCTGTGATGAGAAGACATGATATATATATTCCTGTTTCATATCAATGCATATAGATAATTATGGACATCAGTTTGATTGGGATAATGTCGGAATTTTAGACAGAGGAAACACCAAAAGTAATGTCAGGGAATTCCTAGAAGCCTGGTACTCAAAAGGAATATGCAATTAACAAACATGTTAATATAGACCAAATATACCAACTAATAAAAAGTAGATCATGTGACCAGAAAGTTTAAAATTCAAGTCAATAATAAAAATGATCAATACAAATATAAAGATGGTTACCGAGAGATGCAATTCTATCACTCATTTTTTTCCCTTCACGTTCCCCAGTGGAACATTGGGCTTCAAGCTAGTGGCTTGAAGTTTCTGTAGCAGTGTTTATTTTACAGGATGGGGTTGCTAGCCTCATGCCCAACCTTTCCTCTTTACCAGGATTATTTCTGGCTTAGCGAGGTAAAGGAGTGCGCCGGCCGGGGATCGAACCCCGGACCATGTGCATGGTCGGTGAGCGTCCTAAACGCTATGCCACCGGAAAAATTTAAGTCAGTTCACTTTATGCTAAAATTGCGCTCAAAGGGGATGTTGTCTGGAAGGTGGACGACGAAAGCTCCGCAACTAAACCAACCAGCTCAGAGAACACTATTAATTGCAAATGTGAGTGGTTGTTAAAAAAATAATAATATTAAAATATATTTGTTTAATGGCTATAGAACTTGCATCTCATGGAAAATTTCTATGCAGACTAATTGAATTATTATAAGATTCAGTTAAGAAGCCTGTTGTATTGACTAACATATTAGAAAATTACATAATAATTTGTGGGTCGGCGACTGAGCAGTGGTAGAATGCTCGCCAACACCCTACACACAAGTGGTTCGGGTTCGACTCCCAACCCACGTACTCCTAAACATCATCTAAGCCTGGAAAAGAGGAGAGGTTGGGTATGAGGCTAGCAATCCCACCCACCCCCCGTGAAAACGGCACCAACGCTCATGACACCTTAAAGCTTGTAGCTTTATGTTCCTACCCAGAACTAAAAGGAATAACAAAACGATATGACAACTTGTGAGCCTTAGGAATTAAAAAAACATACACACACACACACACAAGGGATACCCCGCTCTCATATACCACCTATTCATAATTCAATTATGAAATCAATAAATTTAAATCAATCAATCAATCGGAGCAACAACAAAAAAAAGGATACTAAACACTTCATTTGTCACTTCTAAATTCCACATATTGATTCGAAGTGGATCAGCGGAGAAAAATGTCTCGCGATCAGCAGATGGTGAGATGCCGACAATTGTAAAACCATGACCACGAGCAAATATCTTCCTGTTCAATACGCGAACATTTGTATTTTCATAATTTTTTACACAGACTGGCACTTTAATATCCGATAATGAGCGAATAACAACTTTGCGTCGACAACCACATTCAACAGGAAAATTTAAATTTGAAAATGATTGTGTTGGTAATTCTGTTAATTGCCAAAGTTTGATAGTACGTTCTGTATAGACAGAGAGATAAAGAGAGGGAAGACAGCAGTGGATTTGATAAGTTTTAATTAAATGTACTGTGTAAATATTACAAACACCAAAACAAAAAAAACTTGTGATCGTCTATATAGGAGGTAAAAATGAAATCCAATTACTAAGACGGATATAAAAATATCTGTCACTGACTGTCTGTCTGTCTGTTTTCAACATAGAACTTTGCACATAATGTCCGGTAGTTCAAGTCGCCAAACTCCCTCCTTGTAGCACACAAAGCAAGAGAAGAAAGTAGGAGAAATGCATAATATAGACAGTAAACAGAGGTGTGAGACAAAGGAATAGTAATATCGAAGGAGAAAACAGTTTCATTGGAAATCATAAGTCACAAGGAGTGGATGCATCTGCGCCAGTCATTGAGAACGATTTTGAGCCATGTCACCAATTGTTTCCAACCATTGGTTTTTACCGTCCCGAGGACCCCAACCAGTCAGGAAGTCTACACCTTCCTAAGTGGCTTAAACTAACTGTTGTAGATTTCATTGACTGGTTCCATGTTTTCGTTTGACCGCCACTAGCTGTTTTCCAGCCTAACCCTATATCAGCTAACATTGCCTGTTGTCGAGGAAGGCGATGACTAGGCATACGTAACACATGTCCTAACCATCTCAGTCTATGTAATTTCACAGTCTCGTCGACTGATTTCCCCTCCTTGCCTAACACTCGACGCCTAACCTCAATATTGCTCACCTTTTATGCCACTGACTGACTGAGTTTCAACATAAAACTTTGCTCAGAAGAGCATCAGTTAAAGTTGCCACCCTCTATGTGGAACACAAAGGTAGAGAGAGGAGAGGAAGAAATTCAAAACGACTATAATCAGCAGAAATGTTTAATTTTAATTTTTTAATTTTTGATTATAGCTTGATTGCACACCGTATTTTGGTACAAGTATGGAATTTTCAGCATGTGATATCGGTAGCCCAAATTTTGCAGGCCAACCATTGATATCGGGTGTGCGTCAGCAGGGGATCGAACCCCGGACCATGTGCATGGTCAGCGAGAGTCCTAACCGCTGTGCTACCGAGGAGATCACAAAGAAAGAATATGCATCTGAGTCATTAGGAACAATTTCGAGTTATATCTCACCATTACTTGCAAGCAATTGACTCTTACCATCCTGAGGACCCCCAGCCAGCCAGTTCTTCATCTCTCTAAGTGTCTGCCTCAAACCAGCTGTCAACAACTGCATGAATTGACTCCGAGTTTTAGTTTGACCACCATTCTCTCATTCTTTTAAAAACTAAGCCTGTGTCAGCAATTATTGCTCGTCGAGGAAAACGATGGTATCGCATACACAACGCGTGTCTTAGTTATTTCAATCAATGTAGCTTCACAAGTTCACTAACTGACTTATCCTAGTTACCTAGCACACTCTTACACCTAACCATAATATCGCTTCATCATATTACGCCACTTAACATGGGAGATAGAAAGCAAACATCTGTGGCGTCAAAGACAGCTAGCTAGCGTGATCTACTCAACTTGATTAAATTATATTTTGATTTCTTGAGAATTACAGAAATTAGTGGTTGTAGAATAGGCTATTCTGTTGCATCTTTCGCATAGGGGTGTTTTTATAGCACAAGAATTTAACATTTAAAAATTTCACGAAAATATATTAGATGCCGTAAACATTGATCAACTTGATGCACCTAGGATATTAAACGTTTAGATGTGGAAAATGAACACACAGTGATATCAAAACCACTCACAGAAATGCCAACTAATGTATCTTATCCGGTGTCTGTCGCCAAATCATAGCATACTATTTTGACAAAACTCCAGTTGGTGACATTAAAATACTAATGGGAGACATAAACGCCAAACTGGGACCAGACAACACAGGAAGGGAACTCATCATGGGTAGAGAAGCTCTCGGAGAAATGAATGAAAATGGAGAACTCTTCGCCACTTTGCGCTTCAATGAACTAGTGATTGGTGGCAGCGTATACAAACACAAAGATATCCACAAGGCTACATGGATGCCACCAGATGGGCGAACCAAAAACCAAATTGACTTCATCTCAATCTCAAGGAAGTGGAGGCGCAGCCTACTCGACACAAAAGTAAGAAGAGGAGCAGACGTTGGCTCAGACCACCATCTTGTACAAGGGACAATCCTAATCAAACTAAAAGCTTTCAGAGAAACGGGAGCTGAAGATAGACCACAAGCCAAGTTCAATACTCAAAAACTGAAGGACCAGGACACAAAGGACATCTTCACTGCAAACATAAGGGAAAACGTCGAGACACAAATCAACACTACCGAAGAGGTCAGCGTTGAGAAGCACTGGGACAACCTGAAAGCGGTGTAGAATCAAACCTGCATGGAAGTTCTAGGCAAAGAAGAAGAGACAGGACAAATAGTGGCTCCCTACGGACACTTGGAGACTAATAGAAGAGAGAAGGATGGTGAAACAAAAGATTCTCCAGTGCATCGATGAGCAACAAAAACAGGAGTTGAATGCAAGCTACAATACACTGAACAAAAGAGTAAAGAAGAATGCCAGGGAAGACAAAAGAAAATATTATGAAGCCATGGCAAGTGAAGCAGAACAAGCTGCAGACAAAGGAAACCTCGCAACACTCTACCCAACAACTAGGCTCCTATCCGGGAAAAGTTCGACACAAATTAAGCCAGTGAAGGATCACAATTGAAAGTCAATCACCAAAGAGGTGGAGCAAAGGAAACACTGGGCTGAACACTTCAAAAGACTTCTAAATCGACCGCCACCTACAACGCGCCCAATAATACCAACAGCGGAAGCAGAACTACCAGTGGACATCAACTCTCCGACGAAAACAGAAATCCTGAAGGCGATCAAGATGCTAAAAGCCATGAAAGCAGCAGGACCAGATGGAATCTCAGCGGTGGCATTGAAAATGGACGCCGAGACATCAGCAGACTTGATGACACCACTACTGGAGAAGGTGTGGTAAGAGGACAAGGTACCTGCGGATTGGAAGAAAGGCTATTTATTCAAACTGCCAAAGAAAGGAGACTTAAGTCAATGCAAGAACTGGCGCGGAATTATGCTCCTGTCCATCCCAAGCAAAATACTAAGCCGCATCATCCTGGAGAGAATCAAACAAGCCCTGGATGAAAAACTTCGACTGGAACAGGCTGGACTCAGGAGGAAAAAGTCATGCATCGATCAAATCGCAACACTACGGATCGTCATTGAACAGAGCTTGGAATGGCAGTCGGCTCTCTATCTCAAGTTCACTTACTTTAAAAAGGCCTTCGACAGCATCGATGGACAGGTGATTTGGCAACTACTTCGCTACTACGGGTTGCCACCGACAATTATACATCTCATCCAACAGTTGTACGACAATGCTGCATGCCAAGTAATCCACAACGGGAAACTCACGGATTCCTTCGAAGTAAAGACGGGAGTAAGATAAGATAAGGCTGCCTACTATTGCCAATGATTTTCCTGATTGCGGTAGATTGGATAATACGACAGACAGCGGGCAATGAGGAAACAGGCATAAAATGGACCCTCACGAAAAACTTGAAGGATCTGGATTTCGTCGATGATATATGTCTGATTCCCCCCAAACTGGAAGATATGCAAGCGAAAAGCAACAAGTTGGCAGAAGAAGCATCAAAGATAGGACTTCAGGTGAACATAGAGAAAACAGAGGTGATGAAGATTCCTGGGCAACACCACCAACAGCAACAACAACAACAGACAACAATCAGCATAAATGGGAGGAACCTGAAAGAAACAACCTCTTTTACCTACCTACCTGGGAAACATCGTTTCAACTACACGCGGAACTGACGATAATATCAAAGCAAGGATCGGGAAAGCAAGACAAGCTTTCATTACTCTCAAGTCTGTGTGGAGATCAACAGCACTCAGCATGAAAAATAAGATCCGGATTTTCAACTCCAATGTGAAGTCAGTGCTACTATACGGATCAGAGACTTGCACTGCGCGTCATAAAGAGCATCTCAAACAAACTACAGACCTTCATCAACAGCTGTCTTCGCTCAATACTCAAGATCAGATGGCCTAGAAAAGATCAGCAACAGGGATCTCTGGGAGCGAACCAACCAGGAACCGATTATGCAACAAATAAGCAGGAAGAAATGGAGATGGATTGGCCATACTCTGAGGAAACCATCAAGTGACATCACTAGACAAGCCATTGCTCGAGTGGAACCCGAAAGGGAAGCGGCGAGTTGGTCGTCAGTGCAAGGGTGACTTGGAGGAGGTCATGTGAAGAGGAGATGAAAGCATGTGGGCAGACTTGGAACCAGGTAAAAACTTTAGCAGAGAACCGAACGCAATGGAGACGTACGGCTGAAGCCCTATGTTCCTCTAGGAATTAAAGGAAATAATAATAATAAATAATAATATTTTGACAAATATGACTTTGATCATTATCAATGCTTCAAGAATCAGTTACATCTTTTTAACTTAGATTACGCAAATGATATATTCTTCTATGTTGAAGACATTGAAAAACTGAAGTCGGCTGAACAAATTTAGCAGAAATCTGTGTTAGCAAATTCGCCTCCTGTCAAATGTAAGATGATGCTGCAGGACTGATTTGAACTAACTGTTGGTTGAAGAACAGGAAGTGGAACGCTTTAACGTGTAATTATTATTATTATCCCTTTGGGTTCCGAGTGGAACACAGGGCTTCAACAACACTTCTCCACTGTGTTGAACGTATAATCCACTTCACTAATTTGGGAAGCGGCATAAATCCTGTTTTTTGAGGGATCCGAAGGCAGACAGGTAAGATGAGGAAGTTAGTCAGTAAGTTTGTGAATACCCAACGACTGAGAGGTAGCTAAGGTTTAGGTTACGCATGCCAAAGCACCACTCGTCTCGACGATTACTGTTAACTGAAACAAGGTTAGTTCAGGAAACAGTTGAGATGCGTCAGACTGCAATATGGCACAAATTCATGGAATCACTAACTGATAGTTTGAGTCATATGAGGAAGGTGTGGACTACCTGGTTATTGTCCTCAAGATGCTTAAAGCCTGTGGGTGGGGATATGGACATAGGAGTTCAAATCGTTTACTATGGCACAGATATACAGGAAACAGTAACTAAATGAAAACTAATGAATGTCCTCAGAATATGAAAGATAACAAGGATTAGATACATTCCTTCGACTATCCTCCCATTACATTTCTCTTCTCAAATTTAGTCTGCTGTTCTGAAGTGTACACCCTGAATTAATTCACTCTTGTGCTAAATTTTGTGTTGTCATGTTGCCTAGGGCATCACAATGAGACACGCGAATACACAAGAAAAAATTTCTAAACATATTTTTTGGTGTATATTATAAAATACCTTTTTAAAATTCACCATCTGATGAAAAATAGCTAGATAAAAGAGGTTGAGTCACCCTCGGATAAAAATGATTTCTAAGTTCCACATTTACAGACTTCAGAAAAACTTTTGACGTGATGTGTTAGACTAGGTTGCTAGCTAACGAGGAAGCTTTAGGAAGACTAGTAATTCGATTACGTATAACTGTGAACTCCTTGATAGAAGAAAAAGAATTGAAATCAGCTCTGAAATCTCATTGAAAAATTTGATTAGTATGCAATTTTAAATCTACTGCTACTTCTAAGTTAACGACTGCCACATATTCTATTTCACCTATCACATTGACATGAAAATCTGGCGACGACCAAGCAAATATGAATATGTAGTCTTTAAGTGTCGACAACCTTTAAGAAATGTAATCATAATTAAGTACACAGCTAAGTACACTACACACGCAAACCAAAACACGTACCAAACTACTGAAACTCTTGTGCCTATATTTCTAACTCAACAACGTATGACAACTAACTGACAGCTGTTTCCTTGCACCTCAATGTTTCGAGGTTGCATCAGCATCCACTTAACTGCAGTGGTGTATATAAACAAGTATCTTTAGTCAGTTCAGACTCACCGAAGAGAATCCAGACGACAGTCATATAGGATCCATTAAATGAGTGGACAAGTGTGAGAAGGGATACAAGAAGTGAAACTCTTCTTTATCTTATAATACAAAAAGGTTATTATTATTATTATTATTATTATTATTATTATTTTATTCAATGGAGTCAAAAGATCCCAGATAAAGATTATGGATTGAGGTTAATCACGGGACCCATTGAAAATTTTATTTCTTCAGTTAAACCGTCTTAGAAATGTGGTATCTGAAGTAGTTAGTATTCACGCTGTTGACAAATCCAATTGGCAGTCTAGATGAGAGCATGAGACAAGCAAAATTTTGGTTCCTAGTATCTCTTATTTGCTAGAACATATCAACTTAGCTAACCAACCATCTACCAAAATTAAATACTTAGAAAACCAATGAATCAAGGTGAAGTCACAGGCATAGATCACATGAAATACCTGTTTAAGACCTCGACAGATTGTGACTAAATATAAAAATAAGACTACAAAATCATTCCCAGATGAGGAATAGCCTTCTACAGATACTAACTGTCTAGGTAACAGACAGCTAGGGGCCCACTTATTTATTGTTATTGAAATTAGTGACAAAAAGCGAAATCTATGCATAGACTTACCATTGGAAGAAAGTAGGAAGTGAGAACGCCCAGACCTTGGTAACCAACGTATATGACTGATTTTTTCCTCTATAGCTTGAGATTTCAGGCAGTCAAACTCTGGCTCATGACTGAGAAAAATTTGATAAGGTTTTGAGCAGATATGACAGTGTTGCGTTAGTTCAGAAATATCCTAATCCTAATATTAACATCAAAACGTCGAAACTACAAACCGCTTTGCCGATCTCAATGGTGCTAACAATCCCATCAGCATTTCCATAGGCTAGGTGTGTGCCTTCCGTGTTGAAATCTATTGCTGAAATGGCTGAAAAAGTAAATATAGACACTGGTAGGAATGTGTACCTACGTCCAGAACCCTCTATTCTCCTCAAGATTTCATTACAGTACCATTTTAACCTATCTGAGAGTTTGAAATACAACATATCAATAACCAGCCCTAGTATCATACCAGAATTTGTCATTACATCCCCCGAGGAACTGTTACATTGCCCTATCGGGCTTTGCATGTCCAAAAGTGACACAACATTCAACACATGCGCGCAAAGTGAATGTTCTGGGACTTAATCGACCTTCCACGGAAATTGCAGAAAAGTTTTCGGAATTCATGGTACTCAACAAAATGGACCATGAAATATTAGAAGTTTTTTGTTTTAGAACATTTTCTTATATCAAGTGTAAATGGTAGTCTTGACTTGCCAGATTCTCTAGTGTTTAACTATACTGCACTACTGAATGTTGTACTAGTTCAAGTATTGTTTCAACAGCCACATTAATGAGTGCATATGACCTTCATGTAGCGAGATTCCGAAAATATAAATAGCATGACGATATCTTCAATAATTCACTACGATGGTTCTCATCAGGTCAGGAATCATCTCAAAGGAAGCAATGACTAGGATACCCACTTCCCTGCGAATTTCACACTAAATACGATGGCTCGATGGACAGTTAATGACTGGTGAAGCAAACAAAACAAAGACTGATTAGAGCTGCAAATTCCTTTATTCTCCACAGGTTATGTATTCTGCACTGGCTTTTACTGAATAATGGCTAACTTCTCAACTGTTTGAATAAACCTGGTCACATGTATTACCAATTTGCACTCTTCCAAAAATGTCGTATTCTTGCCTGAGAGAATACTGTATCAGAGGCGAATGAAGTCATTTCAGCATAAAAAGACACATGATACGTTCACGACTATTCTGCAAGTAAAACTTATAATTCTTGGATATACAGGTGTATTCTAAACATGACCCGTGGTGTCATGAAGAAACTGCGAATGTCACTGCACCTGTCAGGTAATGCCCTACTGAAAAGTTAGACGCAACGTTATATGAAATCTGGGACAGGGACATGGAAGAAACAGAGCTTAATCAAAACAACCTGAACATCAACAAAGTTTTGGAAGAATGCTAATAGTATGCATTTATTTTGCACTAATACTGAGAGGTGATTTGTTATTGGAATTTCGGTAATAACTGAGTATATTATAGTTGCTCAGTGCAGCACTGATTATTGCTTATAACAATAATAATTTATATTTTCATATAAACATAAATTTACATGAAAATGCATGCCAATTTTACAGGCACGATCAAGTATTATATAATGACAAATAGTAGACTGTCTACAAGTTAATAATGTTTGAACAGCTAAATATTTGATATATATAAATACACTCATTGTCTGACCCATGTCGTATCATTATCGAATTAAACAGTAGTCCTCCAGGTTGCGCAGGAAAATCGACTTCGTTTCGTTTTCAACCCGTGTTTGTAGGCATACGATAGCCAACCAATATTGAAGTAAGTACAACGTTTACAAGGGATAGTAAGATTATCACTTTTTTTAAAAGTTCAAGTTGTTGAATTATATAGTACAAGCAATCGGAACAGATTCTTATTATTGTTAATTTGTAAATCTTTCACGAAGGTCTCCATCGAAGTTAGTGAGACAACCCAAACTTCGTTCCATTTCCTGATGATGGTAGCAATGGCCCATCGATAAACAAAATATATATTTGTTTGAGTACTGTGACCCCACGTGCTTGAACGCTATTTCAGGAAGAGGAGAAAATCCTGCACAGCTACAAAGTGGTATAAAATGCTATCATGAATAATGCATTATAGGAAGTATATTTACAAGAAAAATACAAGAATAAGCTGTACAGTACTTGATATGATAGTGCACATTTGCAATGCATGATGCTAACCATATTGGTCTTACCGTAGAAAACTATGACGTTTTCTATGAAAATAAAGTTATTCTCAAACATGAGTGCTGTTGTTATGTTTTTTACCATCAGAGCAACCGAACTTTATGCGAGAGAAGAGTGTGAATGAGAAAAAAGAAAAACAAAGGAGTAAATTTCAGCTTTCCTAAAGGCCTAGGAAGTTGAGATAAAATAGAGTATAATAGTAATTAGATAGAAGGATTATCGTGAAGTATATAAGTGACATTTCAGAGAGAAGTGGCTAGAAAGATTAGAACCTGTTCGATATGGTGACCTGTAGGATGTCTGGCGAACTTGTGTATGGCCCATGGGGGAGCATCTTGACAAGAAACTGAGCAAGCTTGTAGATGTTAGGAGCGAAAGCCTAATTTTCTTACATGCTAAAACTGTACGGTCATTAAAGTTTCAGTTTTTTTAATTTTTTTAAAGTCTAATTTTTTATACATTCAGTATCTGAACTCATGTTTAATTCTCGAGCTGCCAAAATAATGCATGTTGCTGTCCTACAGATCGGAGCGATTCACATTTGTGACCACTACCAAATCTGCTGATCAGCATGCACCACCCTCCCTCCTTTTTTGACACTAAGCTCTGAGACCTTTTACAAGGACTGCAGTTGTAATATTGGATTGCTTTGACTCCGTCCCAATCATACAGTATGCAGCACATTAACAATTTTCATGACAAGTGCTTCCCATTAGGTCACATGGCACAATAATACCAGAGGACATTGTTATCAGTATTATCACCATACTAGTGAACAAGTGGGTTACTACAAGAGACTGAGAAATTAGGTTTCCCTTAAGAGTTATGAAGTATAAAAATAGATAATATTAGAGCAACTAAGTTATATTCTATTTATCAGAGTGATATGAGTAGTGGAACAATTAGTGATAAAGTTATGTAAAGTGGTTCTGAGTAAGGCAACTGGTTAGCAGAACTTGTTATGCTAAATTTTCACGACAGATTTTATATGGTGTGCGTTACACATTGCAAAGTGATTCATCAATTATATAATGGAAAAATACTACATAATTTCAACAATATGAATTTTTTAGAAAATTATATGAAAATGGGTAACTGTTGACTGAAGATAGTCATTTCAACTCAAAAATAGTACTAATAATATTAATAATATATTTGCAACAAACGCCTAGGAAGTTGCGTTTAAGAAGTATGAAGTATAGGAGTAGCTAGTATTACAGCAACTAAGTTGTAGTCTATTTAGCAGAGTAAAAAGTGTAGTGGAACAATTAGTGATAAAATTATGTATAATGATCCTGGCGATAGATATGTTTAAAACTTGAGCTAACAGCACCTCTATCCTCACACGGCATCTAATTTCTTGCGCCCACCTCTGTGTTTTTTTGAAAATGACTTCGAAGCATGCTCAGTGCGTGCAGATTATAAACTTTTATGGAATTACATGCTAACATGGTGCCCCAGTTTTACACACGTTAATTTTGCTTCAAATCTTACTACCTGCCCTCCTAATTATTTAAATGCTTACAGCCCGTCGATTTGCAAGTTTCTAATAAACTTAGGTCGTCGTGATGAGCGACGAAACACTTTAAAAAGTACATCAGTACATTCAGTCAATTTTCCGAGGATTATCAGTACAAACTCCCGATCCTTGCCTGCTATCTCTACTGTCTTCCGTTATCTGTCAAAACAAGGATGTAAAACGCTCCAAGAAACTTGGTTCCATCATCAACAATATGATAATCTACTTCATTACAACGTCTTCCTAAAATCCTCAAGCCGTCATACAACGTCGAGGATATACCTCATACAGTTACTCATAAGATCATCACAACAGATCAACCTGTGAAGGCGCGTCCACGACGGTTACCACCTGATAAACTAGCAGCAGCCAAGTTAGAATTCGAACATGTTATGCAGCTAGGCATCATTCGACCATCTAACAGTCCATGGTCTCCACCTTTACATATAGTACCCAAAGCTGATCATGACTGGCGATCATGTGGAGATTATCACGCTTTGAATAATGCTACGGTCCCAGACCGTTATCTTATACCCCATCTTCACGACTTCTCCTTGACCTAACATGGAAAGACCATTTTTACTGAAGTTGACTTGGTCAAGGCATATCATCAAATACCAGTCGCTCCAGAAGACATTGCGAAAACAGCAATCATCACGCCTTCTGGGTTATTCGAATTTTCGAGGATGCCTTTTGGACTAAAGAATGCTGCTCAAACATTTCGAAGGCTTATGGACCAAGTTACCCAAGGTCTTGATTTTGTCTTTGTATACATCGACGATGTCTTAAAATCCAGCTCATCAATGGAAGAACATACAGAACACTTAAGCGTGTTATTTCAAAGGTTTGAACAATTTGGAGTAGTTATCAATCCCAAGAAATGTATTTTTGGTTCCTCTTCCATGGATTTTTAGGACATCGAATAACGGCTGAAGGCATTAGGCTTACCGAAGATAAGACAGAAACTATTAAGAACTTTCCCGAACCAGATTCCTTAAAGAAACTTAGAAGTTTTCTTGGGATGTTCAATTTCTATCGACGTTTTATCCCATCATGTGCCTCCACGGTTCAGCCACTGACCAACCTACTTAGATGCAATCCGAAGAAATTTCAGTGGTCTGAAGAAGCAAAAGCAACATTTAGAAATGCAAAAGATGCTTTATCCAACGTCGTAATGTTGTCTCACATCTATCCAGAAGCCTCACTCACTCTATGTACAGATGCATCGCAGGTAGCAATTGGAGCAGTTCTACAACAAAAGTTCAACATTGACATCACTCCACTTGCTTTCTTCCCCAAGAAGTTGGAACCTCAGCAAACTAGTTACAGTACCTTTGGCAGAGAACTGTTAGCTATCTATCTAGCAGTGAAACATTTCAGCTTCTTATTACAAGGTTGACATCTTCCTATCTTAACCGACCATATGCCTCTTTGTTATGCTTTTACCTCTTCGTTGGACAAACACTCTCCGAGAGAAGCCAGACAACTGGATTACATATCACAATTCTCGACAGATATATATATTATTATATCCAGTTTATCAAAGGAGATTCCAATATCGTAGCCGATTCTTTGTCTCGATGTGATTTTAATCAGCTTCTATCTTCGATAGACATTAGCTTAGGCAATATCGCCAGGTTGCAGAAAAATGACGCCGAACTCCATACTTATAGACGAAAGTCCTCCTTAGAGTTGCGGGATATACCTATTCCTCTGTTTGATACAAGTATCATCTGCGACGTTTCTACCGGCGTTCATAGACCTTTTGTTCCACAAAGTTGTCGAAAACCTTTATTTGAACATCTACATTCTCTGTCTCATCCTGGAGTACGTGCTACGGTTAAGTTAATCAGTGAGCGTTTCGTTTGGCCTAAAATGAACTCCAATATTCGGA